CTGGGGAATTCTGGGAGTTGAAGTCCACTCATCTTCAAGTGGCCAGGTTTGGACAACACTGCCTTATGAGGAGCCAGAAAACTCAGGGGGAAGTTGCCTCCCCAGCAGGCTAGGGGCAGGTGGAGGATGGATTCATCTACTCCAGCCCTCTCAAAAGAGTAGACTGGCTTTTCTTGTACTGGGGCAAGGAAGAAATGCTGATCAGCCCTGGATTATCTTGAAATGCTTAGAGCATTTCAATTTTATTGGAGATCAGCAATTAGACATTGATTAAAGTAGTGTATGAGTTACAGTGTGGCATCTTTCTACCTGGATCTAAACTGTTATAATGGAGCTGAATAAAGAGGTCTGCCTTCCAACAAGTAAAGGCTCTATTTATCTAATGATGTAGCTACTACTATCATTAGATGTTCCTGGAAATACAGTGGATACTAACCTAGGAAAGAGAATCACAAAGGATGGAAAATCCCCTTCCTGGGCCTATAGCTCTCAAAAACCTTTGCAGGTGGAGTCAAGATTAGAATTTGCCCTGAACAACTGCTTGCTCAGATTCTTTTGCTGCACTGATACGGTGAATCATTTCATTCTCTATTGGTTTAATTTATGTATTTTAAGTAAAACATGTACTCTTCCTTATAAACCAGTGAGGCCAAAAACAGAACCTAAGTATATTCAAAACTTCCAAGCCCCAAAGAACAGAATTGTATTTGTGCTTTGTGTTAGGACTTTGGCAAGCAGCAAGTCTCCTGCAGGTGTTTTAAGCTATCTGGACTGTCCAACCAGAGCTTTTGCACTTGGAGACTTTCTTTGAAAACCTCTGTTTTCTCTCTGCCTTTGCACTTTGAAACTGGGACACTCAGGTTTTAAAAGTTGGGGCAAAGTTACAGACATGTGGCAGATCTACTGCAGAGTAGATGAAAACATAGATTTAAATACCTTTTTTATTTCAACATTCTTCCTTTGAATGATTTCTGGGAATGTGAAAATTAGGGGACAAATGTGAATTGACCGTAAAAAGTAGTTCTGACTACCAAAGGGTTGGAAATTTACAAGAACTAGGGTCCAAGTTGCTATAGAGTTGGTAAGCTGTCAGTTTGAAAAACTTATGGTGCTTGTGTCACTGCAATCACTGCGATCATAAGTGTAAAATCAGTCTTAACACCTATCTGTGCCAGCTGCTGTAGAACAGAAAGGTTATTTCTGGACTCAGTTTGCATGCTGTTCACTGAAAGATGTGCTTTTTCTTGCAGTCATGAAATAGAAACCCAGCCCCTGAATGGCCAGCAAAGTGCCATTTTATAAGGAACATGGAAATAATTTGAAATGAGCAATTTGCATATATATCCAGTTTGCTGTTCTTCATAATGTATATGGTTTAACCCCCTTATCCCCAGTGTCATATATGGTAACTAAAAGTACAAATTTAGATAGAGAGATCATACTGTGTGTGCACAGTGCAAAAACATATGAGGGCCTATCAACTCCGTAATCAACTCCATGTCTCCATAATCTTTGCTAGTAAAGGACTAAACAAATACTTTGTCACTGTGAATATTGAAGGTAAACATTCTCTCTAGAACCAATAATGGTGCCCTTCTTATGGAATAACTTGCATATATACCAACCCCTCCTAGATGAGTTACTTGCAAGGAGGTATCAACCTGACTCTGGGAGAGAGCATTTGGGAGATGTTAAGTGTGGGATCTACCCTTGTTGTTCAGCACCATTATCATTATATTGTTTTCTGTTGTTATGTTCTTTTTAAACCTAGTAGTTGCAGTATAACATGTTTCTCAACTTTGGCAACTTTAAGATGTATGGACTTCAACTCCCAAAATTCTGGGAGTTGAAGTCCATACATCTTAAAGTTGCCAAGGTTGAGAAACACTGCATCTGAATGGACCGAATAGAAAGGTCAGGTCAAATAAATAAATTGGAATATAAATGCCTTGGTTCACATCACAATCTTACGGTGTTTTTTAGTTTCCCCCTTTTGAAAAAAACCTTCAAGCAAGAGCATTTTGAGACAATTTTAGAAGTAACCCTTAATGCAGGAACAAAACATGTGCTTTGTACCAGATTCAATTCTTGAGAAGGAGTCCACTTTGAAACTTTGGAAAACTCTTGTTAATCTATGTTGGCTATGGCTTTGCAGTGTAACAATTTCAAGTGCCAAAGTGCCCACAAAATCCCCAAGATGGGTGCCTATAATATCCCCACAGAATTTCAAAATTAAATACAGATATATACTTTTTAAATAAATGTTGTCAAATGTTCCAAATTTCACATGAGTGCCAAATTTTGTGAGGTGTTGGATTTCCATCTGAGGTATAAATGCAAAAATCTCATGAAACATTGGCATTTGTTTGCTTGTCTACTTATTTTCTGTGCCCACCCTTTTGTGCAAAATGGTATCCAGCACCTGAAAAGGTTTGTTTGTTCAGTTTGATGCCACCTGACTCTAAAAACAATATAATGGAAACAAGAGATGACAAAACCAACTGGAACAAAAGAAAAAGAAGAAAAAAGAACAAGATGGGGA